GATACTCAACCCCAACCGAGTTTCAGGATCATTTACAGTCCCGGGGATACTCAACCCCAACCTAGTTTCAGGATCATTTACAGTCCCGGGGATGCTCAACCCCAACCGAGTTTCAGGATCATTTACCGTCCCGAGGATACTCAACCCCAAACTTATTCCTTACCAAACCCTAACCTGGATATGGCTAACCTTTCATTCCTTTAACTATGGACAATACCTAGCCCTATAGTCATATAACCATCCTTAGGAACCAACGTGGGCGGGTCCCGCCTGAACGGCCCACATTAACCTACTCAAAACTGCCCGTTTTGAGCATAACCCAATACTCGATCGAGTACCCACCTATACTCGGTCGAGTACAAGAGACAGTAGCCCGTAAGGCCAATTTTTGGTGTATACTCGATCGAGTCCCTACCCATACTCGATCGGGTATTGAATACAGTAGCCCCTGGGGAAAGTTTTTCAGCAAATACCCGGTCGGGTATTTGCTAATACTCCGTTGGGTATAGCAGTTGACTTGGCGGTCAACGCCTGTTTGACCGCCCAAACGGAGTCCGATTAACGTGAAATTTTACATGCAAGTACTCTTTGACGTACTTAATCCAAAAATACCTGTTTGGGTCCTTGGAACATCATACATATCAATTTATGGTAATTTCACCAATCAAACCTATAAATCATGCTTTCTAACTATGTTATATTCTTTAACATAGCATAACACATACTTTAATACCATTAATCAATCCATAAAACATATTCTTGATTAATTTAGGTAATCTCATGCCTCACACAAAAGTTATAAAGCATAAAGCCGTCTTCTCACCTTAAATGAAGCTTATGAAGTTCTAGCCTTCCTTATTGAGCTCCGACGAAACTCCGGTGAACTTCAACGAACTCCGGCGACAACTCCGGCGACCCTTTCAACTCCGTGAAAGTTCCTTGAATACCTTAGACAAGTTACTAACAAGGTTTTATCATCATAAAACCCATATTAATACGAATAACCTCCAAAAGGTTATTTTCCGGCGAACCGGTCACTTTGGCTTCTAAGTCCGTTCTTGGACTTAGGACTACTTTTCAACCCCTCATTCTACACTTCCAAACATGTAGAACAATCCTCGGGTGTGAAATATGACTGGATAACCATATAAAATGATTGAATAACAAGGAATGAGATTAATGGAGTCATTACCTTGAGCACCTCAAGTTTTTCCTTTCCAAAGCCAACTTTTCTCTTCTCTTTTCCCCTCCTTCTTCCTCCTTAGTTCAAGTGCGTGAATGGTGGATATTGTGAAGTATTTTCAGAGCTTCTATCTAAAAAATGGATGGGTTGGCCGAGCTGGAGGGTTAGGTTGATGATTGAGAATGCATATTTGGCATTTCTCACAATCATGTTAAGAGAGGGTCCACTCCATTTATTTGCTTGGTCTCCAATCAGTTCATGTTTGTCTCTCCCCCCCATGCATATCGGGTCAAATAAAATACAACTCGTGCTCTAAATCCTTATTGGACCTTAGAAGGAGTATGTATTCCTACTTTAATTTAGAAGTCTCCAGAATCCCTTTTTTCGGGTTGTTATCCGATAAATTGCCGATACAGATAATTTTGCCCCGTTTGACCAACCGGTCAACTCTATGCCATTGCCGTGGCCCAATTAGGATATCCACCACCATATACATATTATCTAGGCCAAAATTAATATAATATGTGGTTCCGATAATATCAGGCGGGCTCCACTTCCGGTGTGGGCCCCACGTGAATTTTAGTATTCACGTAAAAGAAATGATAAAAATTTACAATCACGTAAAATGTGTTTATTCATTTCTCAGGGTTCAATACATAATTTGATAAAGTACAAATACTTGGGGGCGGTGTTACAAAGGGTCAGTTGAAAATTGACATGTACACATGCCACATTTCAAGTAATTTTCATGCTACACATTTCATGATTGATCTATGTCATTATGTTATATTGATACTAGTAATCATTGGTGGTATAGTTATGTTTAACATAACAAAATGCTGCAATGGTTCTATATTAGTGTGACTGATGGACCAGATTGTTTGAGGATGTTGTTTTATATGATGGTATTTTTGAGCTCATAAAGATAACACATTTTATTAAGAATTACATATAAGGCCCAGTGGGAGATTGTTGGAAAACAATAAAAAGGGGCCTAATATGTAATTAATTAAAATGTGTTTACCATCAGATAAATAATATTCATGAAATATAGTGTAGATACTGGGATAATATATTTCTTTTGGTGACGGGTCAAATTAAATATATTATACTAAAGTGATACAATGGTTATGACCCCCGGTGCATGTAAATAATGAGATAATTGTAACGACATAGTAACGGAAAATAGCCTAATAAATTATTCTACTTATTGTAGCAATAATGTAGGAATTAGAAAGTTTAACCGTTACTATTCTCAAATTAGTCCTATAAATACCCATCAATTATAGGATTAAGCTTTATCTCATAAGCTACATAGCATTGGAAGGTTAGGCCGATCAATCGTGTTGGATTCCTAAGTCTTCCTAAAGTGTTAATGCAAATGAATTCTCAAGGTATTGTTCTAATCTTATTTCATACATATTTGATTTCATGGATTTATATGGATTTAGCTATTATATATTTATATATATATATTGCATATGGAGCCTTGTTGATATATATATGAATATCCATCAATGTCATTTAATTTAAAACCGCAATGTAATGACTATTGCATATGTGGAACTCATTACTTTAATATGTGCAATAAGCTTTACATTAAACAAGATGTGTATTTGAGATTACAACTTATACAAGTATTTGAGATTACAAAAATCCTCAAGCAGCTGTCTTCCTTTTCTTTCACTTCATTCTTGCTTCCTGCCACATTATAATATCCCGCCCAAATCAATTAATTAAGAGAAAATTCCACTAAAATATAAATTCATAATTAAATTAAACACACATCTTAGTTCGATTATTTTTTTTATATGCGATTCGATCATGCTTCCCTCTAAAACTATATATACATATATGCCCACATGCATTACCCAAACATGTGGGTACTATGTAATGTTGATTACGTTTCAAAGTTCTAATTAATTAACCAAACATAGTAATGAAACAGAAACTCTACTCCATTACATTACATTTTGTATTGCATTACCCACTTGATTTCATTCCATTCCATTACTTCAGTAACCAAACATAATATTAGTCAATGCATAAATAAATTCAGATAAACTTTTATTGGTTCCAGTTTTGGAAAGCTTCTTTTTTGCCGAAGCAACAATCCAACAATAAGAGAAATTCTAAAACGTGCGGGTTTACAAAATGGGAGAGCTATAGATATGAAAGATCTAAAAGTAGGACTTTTTAAAGTATCGAATAATAGAACCAGTTTTAATTTTTTTTTTGCTTCTAGACAAGTATTAATTTGGAGGCTAGTATGATCTATGAATCTATGATTCTATGAACATATACTAACGCCTAGCATCCCCTGATTCCCAATAACGCATTTCATTTCTATTCATTTTAATTGCAACGGTCAACATTTTACATTTCCTTTTAATTGCAATAGTTGAAATGCCAACACACAAGTTTGACCACTAATATCTTTCATTCCTTATTAGTAAAAAAATTTAAAAAATTCATATTTTGAAAATTTAGAATGAGAAGAATTTAACAATATTTTTTAAAAATTTAATTTATAATACATTAATTAATAAAATATAGTCAAAGTGCAATATGTGAATAGTGCAAAAAATCCAACGTTGCAATTAAAAGAGAACGGAAGTAGTAGAAAATTATGGGTGCATGCATTTAGTTTCTCTCAACCTTGGATATCACATATGAACATATATGCTCATAGTTTCTAATTTGATCAATTTTTGACAATATAAAATTGGGATAAATACCTCAATATTACTAAAACTCAAGACTTTTCCTAAAATATGACTATACATGTTTTTGTATGTAATATATGACCAAACACATACATGGGGTGGTTACCATACGTAACTAATTCTTTATTGATAGTGCCATTACCACTCATGGAGTATGACATTAGGATGTTAGATTAGGAATAAAACTAGTGAAGTCATATATTGGGAAATTCTTGATAATTATCTCTATAAAATTCTTGACTTAGAGAATTTTCCATGAGCAATGTTTTATATTTTTGAGACCTAATGTCAAGAATATGAACGTTTTACTACCACATGTTTTCGCTCAGAGCGGTTAATGGATTGTTCTTTTTTGAATACCTAAAGTTAACGATCTCGAACTTAACAAGTTGGGATAAACGAGCTTCGGATTTAAATACAAACTAGGTTTAATAATAAAACATTTTCCGAGACGAGCTCAGGCATAATTTTTCTCTGGTTCGAGTTTGAACCTATCAAGAACTTTTAAATATAATTATAAACAAATTTTACATATGTTAGAGTTCAGAGTCTTTGGTATAACGTTGTAAATTTAAGTATGCTTATAAATAAGTCGTGTACGGTGTACTTATTAAATAATTCGAGTATAAGCTAATCTTGGTCCTTGTATAAGCTAACCTTGTATATTTGAACATGTTTATCAAGCTTATTGACCGGGCAAAGCGGATTCTCGTCAAGCTTCGAGTTCAAACTCAAACAAACCTAATACCAAGAATACAAGATATTTTGGGCTCGGTTCGGCTAGTTAACCGCCTTATTTCTGCCCTAACATACAGAGCCCGTTTGGTAGCAGGAAAATCAGCTTATTTGGCTGATTCTGTTGAAATTTATGAATTTCTGGCTGAAGTGGCTGCATTGGCTGATTCTGCTGATTTAAGAAAAAATTATTTTTAAAATATATTTTATTAATAAAATAAATAAAAAATTATATGTAAAAATAGCTAAAATGGTCATCTACAGTAACTTCGGCCAATACAGCCAGAAAAGTAACTCCAAACTTACCTTTTCTGCTTATTACACAATTCAGCGCGCGAAAGCAAGAATTACGTATTTGGTGAAAAAATTGTTTGATAAACCTGATAAGCCCAAAACTAGTGTTGCCAAACGGCCTCACAATTTCTCTACTTGGTTTATATATAAATAGTAACTAAAAGTGTAAATTAAGGGAAAACATTTCTTCTTTACAGTTTAAGAGATAAGAGCCCTAGTAATCACAGCAAATTGGACATCTAATTAGCCCATTTTCATTACAGTCCGGACACCTCTCAAACCCAGACCCATTCCCACATTCACAAAAAACTTTACAGCTCCCCTTACACGTGTCACACGGCACAAACCTTATATTTCCACACGTCTCACAACCGCCGCCACCACCGCCGCTTTCTTCCACCTTTTCGCAACAGTCAACTAGCTTCTTCAGCTTCCCTTCCTCGTGCATTCGCCGGATTTCATCCTCCCCGCCGATGTATTTCTTGCCGACAAATACTCTGGGCAAGCTGTAATCTTCTCCAAAAATCTCTTTCAGTTCTTCTTTGAAACCGGAATGCATAGATACGTCTCGGTCTTCGATTTTCAATTTCAGTTCCTCTAGAATGGATCTAACGTTACAACAATCCTCGTACGTCTTCCTGACTCCTCTTATGCTCGTGAAGTAGAAGATGACTCTGTTCTTATTATGCTCTGTTTCTATTTTAGCTTCCCCTGTTTTTTCTTTATCTCCGGTGGCTGATTTCGGTGACGCCGGAGGAAGCTCTGAGAGGGCTTTTCGGAACGATTCGATCACGTCGGGATCAAACTCCGATAAGAACCCGACGGAAGTGTCGTTTGAACCCAAGGTCGAAATAGACTCTGACCACAGATTGGTAGAAGCAGGGGAGGAGAAACTGCGGACGAGGCGGGCGCAATCTTCCAGATCCTTCATCAATTCCCAGGCGTCGATGGTCTCCAGCTCGCCGCCGGCAGATATCTCCGGAATCTTGTTCTCCATCGGGAGTTTTCCACCGCCGTCCTCTGCATCACGGAGAGCCTGACTCTTATTCAATGGGTCGAGCCGAATCGACCCAAGGGTGGATGAAGTGAGAGCAACCACGTGGTGGGGGTGAGTCTCCGCCTTTCTCCGCGGCGGCCGATCGGAGTCCAAACTCCGTCGGCCGGGCGAGAAAGGTGCGTGGCAATTCTCGCACACTACATTTCGCTTCGAATTGGCACACCCCATTACGCCAGAAACGGTTTAATAACTTAATCAAAGGAAATCAAAGAAAAACAAGTAAAGATCGGATTTTTAAAATATCGCAGTACACTGAAAGAAAAACATTCCCACATGGGGATAGGATTCGCGAAGATTAAGGAAATTCAAAATGAGAAAAATAAGAAAAAGAACAGGGATTTATTATAGTGATGACAGTTGGGTTTCTTCAATCATCAAACCCCTACATGCGGGTTCGAATTTCCTTATCGGAAAACAGAAAATTCAGATTCAGTAATTAACGAGACAGTGAGACACCCATTTTTTCTTCTGCGCATTTAATGATATTTATGAGTGAAGAAATTGAAAACTCGGATTGATCGGAAGGTGGGATGGGAGGGGCATTAAAAAGGGGTAAAATCGATCAAGAGAGGAATAAGGGTGGGAAGACAAGAGAGAAGGGACAAAATGCCAGAAGATTTGAAAAAGATTGAGAGGAAAAGGAAGAAGATGAGAGGGATGGGTACAAAGCCCATTTGAGGGCATATGGATTGGCCTCACCTATTTGCTCTTATGTTTAGATGGATTTGGGTGTCAGGAATGAGTTAAGGAATGGAATGGCTGAACTGTCCGCTAAAGAGTCCAATCAGTCCATCACCAGGAACTACATTTTTTTAATAAGGTGACAATCATTAGTGGAAGTTGGTGATACCAAGTGAAGATTCCGCCCATACCTCAATCCATTGATAAGGAGACCCATTGAAAAGTACCTCAATCTTTTTCGGCTTATCAGACTTATCAGCCAACTTTTTCATCAAACACGTAACATTTGCTTTCGCACGTTGAATTGTGTAATAAGCAGAAAAAGTAAGATTGAAATTACTTTTCTGACTGTATTGGCTGAAGTTACTATAGCTAACCATTTTAGCTATTTTTACATATATTTTTTTCTTTATTTTATTAATAAAATTATTTTAAAAATAATTTTTTCTTAAATCAGCAGAATCAGCCAATGCAGCCACTTCATCCAGAACTTTATAAATTTCAGCAGAATCAGCCAAATCAGTTAATTTTCGTGCTACCAAACGGGCTCAAGGTGTTGAAAGTGTAGTTGTTTATCGGGAAAAGTACGGAAAAAGTACTTGTGGTTGGGCCCGTTTTCAGATAGGGTCATGTGTTTCATTCTTTATCAAAGTAGTTCATGTGTTTGTATTCCGTTATCACAAGAGGGTCACGCCGTTAAAAAAGTCTGAAAAAGACCGTTAAAAGTAACTTCGATTTTCAAAAGTGTCCAAAAAATTAAAAGAAAAATACCGAAAGGTGCGCCTCGTCAAGATGACTTCCAAACCACCTTCGCCTTTAGATTTTTCAGATCTGTTTGAATTATTTTTTAAAAATGATTTCGCTAATATCACTTTTCTGATGGACTTTCCGGTGACAAGGGTGACTGAAAATAAAAAAGAAAGATGACCTAGTGGTCGTGTTATTGAGGCACACCTTCTAGTATTTTTCTTTTAAATTTTCGGGCACTTTTGAAAATCGGAGTTTCTTTTAACGGTTCTCTTTCAGACGTTTTTAACGGTGTGACCCTCTTGTGATAACGGAATTCAAACACATGAACCACTTTGATAAAGAATGAAACACGTGACCCTATCTGAAAATGGGCTCAATCACAAGTACATTTTCCGTACTTTCCCCCCTTGTTTGTTTACCGGACAGTTTCTGAACAAATTGCGATAGACAAATCAGGGTTATACAAAATATTTATAAAGCTATGTTTATCAGACATAAGTCCCTTTCTTCTACCTTTTGTACTATTTAAAAAGTTTTTAAAAGCTTTTAGTTGTATGTTCGGCATGCCAATTTTTAAGAGCTTTTATAAAATAAAAGATCTTTTTTGAGATGGTACAGTAAGTAGCATCACAGATAAATCAGTAGCTTCTAGTATTAAGGGTATGTTTGGCACAATTAGCTGAAAAGATACTTTTACAGACTTTTTAGTAACCGTTAGCTTTTAGTGACTGAAAAGATCTTAAAAGTAAAAGGTGGTAGCTGTTTGGTAAAAAACTGACTGTTTGGTTTAGTTTTGTTTGGTATGCAAGCTGTTGAGATTAATTAATGCTAAAAGTCACAGACTTTTCTCAGATGTTACTCCCTCTGGCATCTTAAAAAAGATCTTTTATTTTTTGAAAAGCTCTTAAAATTTATCATGCCAAACATATAACTAGAAGCTTTTAGAGTCTTTTAAAAAAGTACAAAAGCTAGAAGGCAGAGACTTATGCCCGCCAAACATGCACTAATTAGTCTTAACAGCTTGTATACCAAACAGAACTAAATCAAACAGTCAGCTTTTTACCAAACAGGTACTGCCTTTTCTTTTTAAGATTTTTTCGGTCACTAAAAGCTAACAATTACTAAAAAGTTCATAAAAGTATCTTTTCAGCTAGTTGTGCCAAACATACCCAAAATATGTATACCAACAACATTAGAGTAGAAATTTTCAATAAGTAATGAGTTTTTTCAAGTGTCACCCTTAAATAGTTGGGTTTAATAATTCTAATAAATGGCAATGACAAATGAATTTATTAAATACTACATCTGTTCCAAATCGATTTGCAAAAACAACTGTTTTTAAATAAATTGTTTCATTTTATCCACTTAATCAAAATATCAATTTTTAATCATGTTCTAATTCGGATTTTTCAATATTATAGAGGTTTTAATGTAATTTCTGAGAGTGTAAATTGTAATTATTAAAATTGAATTACCTATCAATAGAGAGAATTTTACTTTAACATTAATTAATAAAAAATTGTTGATTTTACAAATCAATTTGGACGAATGGAGTAATTATTGCGTGTAGCCCATGATTGATTAAAAATACTTATATCTTTATATAGGTGTTAATAATATGGAAAATTACACTAATATCTATAGTGATTTGTTTATAGGTGTTAATAATTTGGAAAATTACACTAATATACTGTTAAGTGTTTTTTAGTTCAGATGTAATGAAGTACATATCATTATATTATACCCTTGATGTATTTTTATCTTTTATCTATGAATCAAATACATAGAGATGCATTTAGAAAATTCATAAGGAGCGTGTACAAATGCCTCAAGGTATATGTTTAAATTACCACATCAATATAAAATCTCATATGAATGAAATTTATTATTTATAGTAATTAAACATTTAAACCATAATTAAGACCACACATATATTTATCAGACACGGGAATGGATAAATCATTCAGTAGGCAAGTAGGGAGGTTGCATATTTCCATCACACTAGGCAACCACAAGATTAAATCAACATGTGGTCTCTCTTGCAGTAAGTGTCTTGTTCTTGATAGGTTATCAATTGTATGTATACCTTTTACTTTCACCATGGCTAGCTCCATATTGATAGAGACGGTTATGTTTGACTCTCTTTCATTCAGAATTTTGTCCAGTATTCACATTACTATAGTTATTTTTAGAAACCCCTTTATCCAAAAAGATTTTAAGAGAATCATGTCTAAAAATAAATTATACTACGTACCATTCAACAAGAATATGAGGTAATATGTATTCAACAAGAATATGAGGTAATATGTTGCACCAACCGAGAAGCCTTTTGGGTGACTATTTATACTTCATCATTAGTATACCTATTACATGTGAGAAATATGGATGGGAATCTTGTCAGTCCAACTTAATTTTGAGCTAAAAGTTGAGTTTAATGTTTTCCGTCATTACCATTAAATATTAATTTCAATCATTGGATTTGTTGGATTTGTTGAGGTTTATTCCTTCAACCCTAAGGCTCAACACCTTTCTTTGGATTTCGAGTGGAGTATGCGGTGGATTACAAATGGTGAGTAATCACAAGCAATAATGGACAAACAATAAGTTAATCTAGTAATCGGGTTATATCTTATCACTCTGAATAAGGATTGTCATAGCACACTCTACTATAAACCACTCAGGGCCGATTGTCTGATCTAGTTGACAGGAGCGGGGAATAATTGCTATTGCTAAGAGATATAAGTTGTCAACCCTTTACAATGAAATAAATGCTACAACTTATACTATCATGGGGTAGGTAATACTGATGATGTGGAGGATTGTGAGTGATTAGCTTCCCAACCACCAAATCTACTGCATTAAATGCATTTCCCACCAATATCCTGGCTTCCCGCCAAAGGATCTGGACTAGTCTTCCCTGAATCTTGGATCCCGGGTTTGGCTGAGCGCAAAGGAGGGGATCCGCTCGGCTCTTATGAGTCGTCATGGCGGAGGACATGGAATGTCATCCGGCCTTTGTTGGGCCAATGCCACTTAGGCCGAGCGTCTAGATGTCCGGACATGCATCCGACCGACACCTTTGCCGGACCGTGCCTTAAATGGGCCTTGATGATTTAGTTAGAGAATTATTGAGGATTAATTTGAGGGAATTCTCTGTGCCTTCATTCGTATGTGCAGAGGCCTTTAAATAGCACTTTGGAGATATACATCACTAACGGAATTAGCTATACATGTGCTGACTATGAGTCACAAACCTATCTAGATACAATGATAAAGGCTATACTAATAATAAGATAAGAAAGGCTTTGTAGCCGCAGAAGTAGTATCAGAAGAGCCATGCGTGGATGTACTACTACGTAAATATGTGTACATAATAATAATAATAATAATAATAATAATAATAATAATAATAATTAATAATAATAATAATAATAATAATGTACACGTTAACACGCCCCCGCAGTCGGAGCTGGAGGAGGACTGATGCTCAGACTGGTACAAAACTCATCAAATAAGCAGCGGGGAAGTCCTTTAGTAAAAATATCTGCATATTGATGTCGCGAGGGAACATGTAGAACTCGGATTTGTCCACGTGCAACAAATTCACGAACAAAATGAATATCCATTTCAATGTGCTTAGTCCGTTGATGTTGGACAAGATTATGAGACATATAAATGGCACTAATATTATCACAATACACAATAGAAGCTTTAGTTAAAGGGTGATGGAGTTCAAGGAGCAAGTTACGGATCCAACTAGCTTCAGCAACAACATTTGCAACCCCTCTGTACTCGGCTTCAGCACTATAATGAGAAAGGGTAGGCTGACGCTTGGAGGACCAGGAAATAAGATTGTCGCCCAGAAATATGCAATAGCCCGAAGTAGACCGGCGAGTGTCGGGGCACCCGCCCCAATCCGCGTCAGAATAAGCGGTGAGGGACTGATTATGGGACCGGTAAACATGCATGCCATGAGAGAGAGTGCCTTTGATATATCGCAGAATGCGTTTTAATCCATGAAAATGAGGTTCCCGGGGATCATGCATGAATAAGCATATTTGCTGAACCGCGTATGATATATCAGG